GCTCATAATGCTATATGGAGTGCAGGTGAAGCACAACACTATCGTATGCTAGATAATGGAGACTGCCATTGCTGATCTGTTCATAATGCTTGTTGCCTGGCTCCAAAATCTCTATACTTGTTCCAGGTCACTGACTGTGAAAGTACTGAAGCCAAAACATCTTCATGACAGCTAAGAAACTAGTCAGCAGTGGCAGCCTACATATTTCTGCCAAGTCAGATGCCCACTAAGGGCCCATTTACACCAATGAGGTGCGTTAATTAAAGATAGCTCACGATACAGCACAAGCCACCTACCATGCATTACAGTGCGTCAGGTACATTGCCAATTATTTAAATGGCACCTCCTGGCCACAAGCGCTCAATATACAATACCACAATACCGTGCATTGCGGTGTGGTTAAACAAATACACACTGCATTGGCCCTAAATGAGAACTCCTCATGTCCAGGGATAACACTTTAGGAGACAAGAGAGCAGCATGGCATTCTGGCAGCCTCCATACTAATCTCAGTAGAGGAGAATGACCCAGAGAGTAGAAGTATGTGAAGCACAGCAGGTGGCGGCTGTAGTTCCAGTGTCAGCCTGCTCTGTCTGTATCCCCCCTCCATTGCTGTCTGTGATGGGAGGAGCTTGTGGTTGCTCAGTCTTATGTCTAGTGCCCAGCCTGTAAAGCAATGCATTAGATTAGAGAAAGCCAGGAACAGTCAGTGGTTCTCAACCTGTGGGTCGGGACCCCTTCGGGGGTCGAATGACAATTTGCCAGGGGTCGCCGGGAGTCTCCCGCTATTAGATAGCGGCTCCAGGCCGCCCGGGAGAGAAATACTTTCTCCCGGAAAGGTTTAATCTGCTCGATCGAGCAGAGTAAACCTTTCGCTGCAATAGTTTTTTTAATTTGATTTCTGACATCGGAGCCCCGGCCGCCGTAAGTCAGAAATAAATCAGCATTGGAATGCATAGCTAGATTCCTATTGGCTATTTCACTTTGCAATAGCAAACTAGCTATTGCACCCGCCCACTGCTGCTGTCAATCAGCAGAGGGGGACCTGCAGTTCTCCATCAGGTTCACATCTAATGATTATCATTATTAATAATAAAAGCTGACACCCTCGGCTTGTGTTATATGGTTTGCCATTTTAGCTGTTACAACAGTGGTTCTCAACCTGTGGGTCGCTGTGTGATTTTTGCTGTGCTAGGTGAGAGTCCTCCTCAGCCCTCTCCTAGCGCAGCAGTGTCAGTTCTCCTGCCACGCCGCCAGATGTCGCTGCAGCAGCCGCGTCAACCCTAAATTTTACCGTTGGGGGACACCACAACTTGGCAAATGTTACCAAGGGGTCTCGGCCCTAGAAAGGTTGAGAACCACTGGACTACAAGATTGAAGACATACTGTATGTGATACTAAACAAACTTTCCAAATCCCACCTAAACTGATGATGGGGCACCATTGCTCCCACTGACCACTGACGCAGGGCCATTTATTACTCCTGCTGACACAAGGGCATTTATCACTCCCACTAACAACCAAACCAGGGGCATGTTTTACTCTCACTGACCACAGATGTAGGTAGGGACATTTTATATTATCACTGATACACAGGCAGTTCTTTCTCTCACAGACCACCACACAGGCACAGTCCAGCCCCCAAATATTCTGAAGAGCAGCCCTTTGCTTAAAAAGTGTGGAAACCCCTGCTTTCTGATGGGCAGAATGATTGTACAGAACCCCCTTTCCCCCACCCACAGAAGAAAACGGCAATGTCCCAATGGGCACCTCCTCTAGGTTGGGAATTGCAACAGCCCTAAACAAAGACGTGAGATGAACCAATAGGGGTCAACTCAAAGTGCAGCTAGTAAAGAGGGTCGGAGAGTCAAAATATAGTACAAAATGTATAAATGTATTGATTATAAAAATTCTTTAGACAGACTAAATGCTCCACTTAAACCAACACCCATAATGCGTCTAAAAAATGGTTATTGCAACAACCCATTCACTCATAAAACACAAACATGCACTCATAGGACGAGCTGATTAGCGTATAGTATAATGCCGGATGGTCCTCAAAGTATTTGAGGAAGCAGCGCTTTGATTGTAGTTATAAAGTAAATATGATTCAAAGGATTTGGGGTCCTTATTCTATTACATTTGAATCTTTTCAGTGGATCTGAAAAGATTGTAATTTCTCAGGCTGGTAATGTAGTCAGTCAAGTGTTACATTTGTAACCTTTGCTCTTAATTTAGAGCAGACGATACTCGGAGTGGAAAGCTTGATTGAAGGTAAATCTTAGAGGTTCAGAGACTGAGGCCTTGTTCACACCAAGCGCGGAGCAGATCCGGACCAGAGCAGGTGCAGACCGGATCAAAACTGCATCCAATGTATTCCTATGGTATTTTGACCTCCAGTTCACATCGCAGCGTGCGGATCCAGACCAGATCCAGACCGGATGAAAAAACTGCGGCAAGCCCTATTTTACCTGCTCTGGATCTGGTCTGGAACGCATCAAAAACGCATGCAAGTGCCTGAAAGCCCATGTTAAACTTTAAAACATTTTTTTTCTTTTTTACCAAAACCAGCCCTAAACGCATCCAAAGCGCGGCACAACCCACTGCACTGCGTGTGCAGAAACCTGACCGGATCTGGTCTGCATTTGGTGTGAACAAGGCCTAAAATAGTGACCCGGTGAGTCATGGATAGTAATATCACCCTGAGTAATGATCACACATGGAGGTAAAATCGACCAAACAGTGTGTAAAGTCTCGAAAGTATTGTACGCACGGGTGCTAGATTGCTTCACCGGGCAGTCCGTCTCAAGAGGTATGGAGTGTTTTGATGTCAAGCTACTCCAGGCAGTCCTCTTTGATATTGGTTAAATAATCCACTTGGAGAGAAAGTCAAAGGTTCTTGGATGGTTTCCTTGATGTATGAAAAGATGTTGGAAGGTCCCAGATGGTTTTAATTTTATCGATAAAATAATCCTAGTGTCGCACTGTTTTGTAGTCCAAAGCCGGGGTTCATTAACAATGAATTGCAACAGCCCACCTAGCAAACAGGTAAGAGCGTTACTCAGAAACAGAGCTGTAGGTAGCTCCTTTTGTGCTCGAGGTAAGAACAGAAAATTGTTCTTCACCTCTCTTACTCTCAGGAGTGTCACCCTGAGCTGACTGCCAGCAGGAGATCCCCCCTTTATTATTCTGGGATTGTTGTGGAATCTTCAGATGTACCATGTAGCAGTTGGCGTGGATGGGGAGGGAAACCATGCAGTACATGTGAGGAGGGGACCATGTAACTAAAGGGAATCATTCAGCAGGAGTTGGGGCCAAGCCGTACATGTTGGGAGACCACGCAGCACAAGGGAGGGGGAACCATACAGTGCAGGTACTTACCTTCCAACTTTCTGAAATGAGAAAATCAGACACTATCCAGTACAAGCTATTTAGGCAATGGCCAAGCCCCCAGTTATGTAGAACTTCAAGAATTTATGTGCCAAAAATGATTTATGGGGGCTGTGTTGGAAGGGGAACGGTAGCAGTGAGTGCCTCTCCTGGCTGTGTTGTGGCTGTTTCCCGTAAAGAGAAGGACCAGAGAGGGTTCTGCATATCGGTGGAGGCGTGTTGGCGGGGAATGCCCAAAATCATTGGGCCAAGCGAGGGACGTCGGATAGTGAGAAGTGTTTGTTGGTCACAGAGGGGGAGCTCCGTGTTTATAATAGTGCTACTAAACAGGAGAGTTCGGTGCTGTGTTCAGTGAATACAAGTCTGGCCCTGGCTGCACCCCCTTGCAGCTGTGCCCAAGGTGAGTGCCTCACCCTTCCTACGGTCCTGCTCAGAAACATCACTATGCCACCCTAAAGAAGCATGCCCCCAAAACGTTGGATTTCTATGACAAATTGTGACAGTAAATTGAACAAGGATTTATGATTCTACCTCAGGTCTCAGACATGGAACTCACTGCCACAGGCGGTGATTTCAGCAAATAATGTGGAATTGTTCAAGAAACTTTTGGACGATTTCTTAAGGGACCGTAATATACAGGGGTACAGGTACTCCTAGAATGAGATCCTAATAGGTTGGACTTGATGGACTAATGTCTTTATTCAACCTCAAATACTATGTTACTATGATTGCCCGTTTCTTACTTTGGAGTTCCTCACTGTGCCATCACTACGAGCACCATTGTCACAAGCTCATAATGCTATATGGAGTGCAGGTGAAGCACAACACTATCGTATGCTAGATAATGGAGACTGCCATTGCTGATCTGTTCATAATGCTTGTTGCCTGGCTCCAAAATCTCTATACTTGTTCCAGGTCACTGACTGTGAAAGTACTGAAGCCAAAACATCTTCATGACAGCTAAGAAACTAGTCAGCAGTGGCAGCCTACATATTTCTGCCAAGTCAGATGCCCACTAAGGGCCCATTTACACCAATGAGGTGCGTTAATTAAAGATAGCTCACGATACAGCACAAGCCACCTACCATGCATTACAGTGCGTCAGGTACATTGCCAATTATTTAAATGGCACCTCCTGGCCACAAGCGCTCAATATACAATACCACAATACCGTGCATTGCGGTGTGGTTAAACAAATACACACTGCATTGGCCCTAAATGAGAACTCCTCATGTCCAGGGATAACACTTTAGGAGACAAGAGAGCAGCATGGCATTCTGGCAGCCTCCATACTAATCTCAGTAGAGGAGAATGACCCAGAGAGTAGAAGTATGTGAAGCACAGCAGGTGGCGGCTGTAGTTCCAGTGTCAGCCTGCTCTGTCTGTATCCCCCCTCCATTGCTGTCTGTGATGGGAGGAGCTTGTGGTTGCTCAGTCTTATGTCTAGTGCCCAGCCTGTAAAGCAATGCATTAGATTAGAGAAAGCCAGGAACAGGTCACTAGGCAATGTAAATGCGGTTGTCAGTATGGGAGATATTGAATAGACACTTTCACATGAAGGTACCAGGCATGATCTCAGCGTCACATTGTATTATAACACAGGGTTCATTATGGGAGGAGCAGAGGAAGAGGAGGAGCTGTCTTTTACACCGACACTGCATGTGGATCCAGTGTGGTGTGACAGCTGTCACCGTATCTCTGCCATTCCTCAAACGACAGTCGGCGTCTGCAGGAGGATGCAGAGTGTGGTCCGGGCTGGCTGTAGGCTGTCCTCCGCTGTCATATACGGGAGAGCTGGATCTATTCGGCCCGGCAGCTTCTGTACCTCTGCCGCTGGAATTTGGGCGACCCCTAGTGGACATGACACGGGAATACAGGTGTACAACAGCCTGAGCAGGAAGAAGGAAGCGCTCATACTGCACACAGCGGCTCTAGCAACATGGTTAGATGATGGAGGGCTTGTGTCTATTGTATGGAGGGGTAGGGTCACATACTACTGACTGGGGGGAATGTGAAGGTACACGAGGGAAGAGTACTTCCCCTGATTTCACAATACACAGCAATATTGGACAGCCTCTTATGTGATTTACTGTAGACTCAGTCTATGGTCCTACACAGTGAGAGTGATTTTGCTGCAAGATGACCAATTTATCCAAGTGAGAATGAATTGAAAGGATCTGATTAGGAACAAAACGTAGAACCCCCCC